AAAAAAAAAAAAAAAGACTTGCCAATAATTTTGGGGCTTCCCTGGTGGCGCAGTGGTTGAGAGTCCGCCTGCCGATGCAGGGGCCACGGGTTCGTGCCCCGGTCTGGGAGGATCCCGCATGCCGCGGAGCGGCTGGGCCCGTGAGCCGTGGCCGCTGGGCCTGCGCGTTCGGAGCCTGCGCTCCGCAACGGGAGAGGCCGCAACAGTGAGAGGCCCGCATACTGCAAAAAAAAAAAAGAAAATAACTGTCGGGACTTCCTGGCAGTCCAGTGGTTAAGACTCCGCACTCCCACTGCAAGGGGCACGGGTTCGATCCCTGGTGGGAGAATTAAGGTCCCACATGCCGCGTGGCCAAAAAAAAAAAAAGAAGAAAAGAAAAGAACTGTAAACCTAGTATTTTAACCCTATCTGAGAAAGCAATAAAGATGTTTTCAGACAAACAAGAACTGAAAGAAGGGATCCTCAACTAAAGGAGATTTTAAAGGAATGTATTTAAGATAGAGGAGAAAATGATCCCAGATGGAAGGTCCTCAGGGCAAGATGGAGTGGTAAGCAAACATACTGGCAAACGTAAAGGTAAATCTATACACATACTGACTGCATAAAATAATAAAAATTTCAAATTTGCGGGGTTAAAGTATATAACTAAAATATTTGATAATAATAGCACATAAGTTGGGAAGGAGATAAATGAGGTTAATGCATTCTAAGGTCCTTGTAATGGTCAGGAAGAGAATAAAGACATTAACTTTAGATTTTATTATGTACACTGAAGTATCTGTGATGACCACTGAAAGAATATATTTAGAGAGCAGGGCTTCCCTGGTGGCGCAGTGGTTGAGAGTCCGCCTGCCGATGCAGGGGACACGGGTTCGTGCCCCGGTCCGGGAAGATCCCACGTGCCGCGGAGCAGCTGGGCCCGTGAGCCATGGCCACTGAGTCTGCGCGTCCGGAGCCTGTGCTCCGCAACGGGAGAAGCCACAACAGTGAGAGGCCCGCGTACCGCAAAAAAAAAAAAAAAAAAAAATAGAGAGTAGCAAAAGGAAAAAAAATGGCATAAAATGACTCTCCACGAACACTGATGGTCTCTAAATTCCTGAACTCTGAAGAAGAACCTGACCTCTGCCTGGGGACATCAGACCTGCTGTGGCCCCAGAGGGACCCTTCCCTGACGCTGCCGGCTCATCCTCACCATGATCTAAGCTGTAGCCACACTGCCATGTCATAATTCTCATAAACAGAAGCCTTGACTGTGAGAACTTTCACAACTTTCTAACCGTTTTATATTTTCAACCTTCTAGGAGAAGACAGTAAAACTAAATTTGGACTGACCAAAAAAAACAAGCACAGAATTCAACTGTGCTAACTATACAACAATCCGGCTTTGACGAGCTCAGTCAACTACCTGACCTTCAGTTTAGCAGCTACTATTCAGGAGTAATGAAGTTTGTTTTACTGAATTATAGTAGAAACTGAAATGTACTGAGCTTGGAAGAACTGCATCCATCGTTCAATGGCAGGGGAGTAAGCACCATACAAATTCTTGGAAACAGTGTGAGATCTTTAGAAAAAGTATCTTGTTATATCAAAATATTTGTCTCTAAATACTTTTCAATAAACCTCTCAGTGGGACATATTAATTTTAGTAAGTCAACAAAAATTACCTTAATAGGTAAATCTTACTCATAAATATTGTTCTAAAATGTCAACTAAAATGAAGAATAACAATTAAAAGAGCTATAGGCAAATAGTCTGATGGTAATATAGTACACAATCAGGTAACCAAATATATACCAAGTAAGTGAGAATTTTAACACAAATCCAAATATTCATAGCCAGTGATTGTGTAAAGTAGCCTAGTTTTTCTTCAGGCTACTAATTTTCATTCTAATTGAATAAATTATTGTTTCAATACTGCAAAAGTATACACAGAATGATTTAAGAGGTTAGTATATTTAAAATATTTTGTCAGTCTGGGCTAACAAGTCTTGGTGCAACAAAAAAAAGCACATTTTATAGCACAAGAAAAGTTTGTTAAAGCAAATTACCTGTACATTCTTTTAAAATACAACATAACATAAGCAAATTTTAGCTTTTACAGCATCATTCAGAAAGCACCAATGTATACAAGGTGAAACTGCCATGCTGCCCAGGATCTGAGACAGGATTCAGAGGTGGTCACTTACCTGGAAAAGCTCTTTAAATGAGGGGTGTACCATGGGATTGGGAACAAAAGGCAGGGCATAGAAAGGGAGAAACTCCGTGGTCTGGCTCAGCGCTGCCCCTTTGGTCTCCAGGTAGGTTTTGAAATAAGAAATCCTTTCATCCAGTTCCTCTTTGTCCTGCGAGGAAGGGAGGAGGCTCGTTTGAGATCTCCTGCTTGATGCCAGCTCACCTGTTCACCTGTCTTCTCTCCGAGGCTCCTTCAGTTCCAGCCACGTCGCTGGCATCCTCCCCGTCTGGCCCAGCCTGCGTGCCGTCACCAGTCATCCTAACATCACCCCTATTTCGCCCCTTCATGAAACTGTCAGGAATATCAGAGAACTAGATATATGATACAGTTCAAATGCTGCCTTTTCAATCTATCGTTACCATTTTCTCATATCCTTAAAATTCTTCATAAACATCATTCTTAATGGCAGGACAAAACCTCATCTTGTGGGTCTATCATAATTTATTTAACCAATTCCCCCATTATTAGATATGTACACTGTTTTCATAGTTCAGATATCAGAAATAACTATTTGTCTGCATTCCTGTCATTTCCTTACGAGAGGTTTTTAAGGGTGAACAGTTACCGTTTTTAACATGGAAACACTTCACGAATTTGCATGTCATCCTTGCGCAGGGCCCTGATTCCAATTTTTTTTTTTTTTTTTTAGTATATGTGCTGCCGAAGAGAGCGCTTAAAGGTGAATAGTTTTTTGAAACGGAAGTTTTCCATATCATCATTCCTTTCCTTTATTAGGCTAACTAAGAAGTGATCCTGCCTGCTTCGCTGCTTCCAGGTGTAATCCCAGGCAAGTCGGGTCTCCCGCCAGGGTTTCCATTTTCTCCTGGGCCTCAACAAGAAGGTCCACCCTGGCCTCGCCTGTTACGTCCCTCACAGCCTCATACACAGGCCAATTCTTCTCATCGGTGCATCTCACTTCACCTACACCGTGAAGCCCACCGGACTTAAAAAATTTATTGATCTTTTTATCTTACAGAAAAATGGAAAAATTAGAAAATAAAAATAAATACAAAGAAAATGAAAAGTCTCCCTCAACGGCACCCACAGGAGTCCTATCTTAAGGAACAGCCTTCCAAGAATGGCTGCCACGATGTGCTCTAAGCTGCTCCTCTACCACTGAGCCTTCCTGTGGCCCCCTGACATTTAATAAGTTAACACGGGTCCTGGGGGCAGTAGCCAAGGCGTGGAGAAGCCACGAAACAAACGTGCGTGGTCCGATGTCAGCCTGGCCGGCTCCCCTTCTGTCATTCCCTCCGTGCCCCAAGGTTCACCAGCAGAGCAGTTTGCGGCTGCTCGCCTCTCCCCTTCACAGCTCCAGTCCCACACCTGCAGGAAAAGACTGCAGAAGCTAAATTCAACTTAACACTCGAACTTTCACAGACGGGCATATACCATTTTTCCACTGTTTAAGCTTAAATTTGTCTTCTAATATACGGTCGAAAATGTGGTCTAAACACGTATTCTCTTAGACATACGTGTCTTGAGGTATTCAGGAAAATGATGTAGCTTTCATTACAGAAGTGATTAACTTTCCATGTAAATTAGAAAATAAACTGCTGGGAATGAGATAGAAAATCATTCATCAGGATGTAAGATACCTATTCCTTAGAAGCAATATGATAAAATGGCCACAAAACTAAATTAATCCTCATTTGCAAAACAGAACAGCTAACATTCTCCTTTAACACACCATTTGGACCAACCCACGCCATAAGGTGAACCTACAGGCCTCCCTGTGGAGTGTTTCAGAAGATAGATGGCAAAATGGATGTGTAGGTAGAATTCCAACTTCTGGGCGAGGGAGTCGCCAGCCCGGATGGAACTGGGAATGTGCCCCTCCCACAAATCGAAGAACACCTTCTGGTCTCCACTGTCAAACGCAGCAAGGAGGTCCTTCTGTGGAGAAGACATCAGAGTGAAGCCTGGTCATAGGCTGGTCAAGCCCCTTCTCTCAACACCCCGAATCCTCACAACCTCCCACCACCTTGGATACAGATATACTCCATCGTTTCAGTGTGAGCAAAATTAAGTCTCCTTTTCAGAGGTAAGGGATAGGAAAATAGAGATCCAGAGGGCTTCAAATTGCCTAGGCTGAGATTCCTACAGACCGACCCTGGTTTTCCACTGCTCTGCAACATCAAATCTGAGCATTCTAAACAACAGATACAACATTTAAGGTCTCTGAAATGGAAGGAATCAGGCATAGGCCAAAGATTGAGCCCAGAGACTCATAGGCAAATGAATACATTGAGGTCGTCCTTTGGACTTGCTGACCCACTGTACGCAACTGATGAGAACAGGCCAGACCCAGAGCCCAGCCAGACCTCAGTGGAACAACCTCATACCTATGGAAAGTTGCTGACACCACAACTGCCAAGTCCCTGAGCTCCTGGGAGCTCAGCCACACGGAACAGTCGATCCCAGGCCTGGGAGGTGGGTGCTGTCACGTGCCCGCTGTTGCTAGAAGCATGACTGGCAGAGAGGGCAGCGTGGGAAGCAACCACAGAGCCCAACACACGCAGGTAGTGACTGCACGGGCCCTCCCGTTCCAGGAACAAGGAAGCCTGGGCTGGAGATGGAGGAGGGCGCACAGGCCCGGCACCAACCCGACCTCGGAGCTCTGCCAGTCTGACTATGTGGGGCAGAGACAGCTTCCCAACTCGCCATGCAATAGCTGAAACAGAGAATTCTGGAGAAAGGTGGTGGCAGTTACCATGTCACCTGTCTCACAGGAAAAATGATAACTGATCCATCACAAATACCCGCTGTGTAATTTTGCAGATTTAGGTATAAGGCAGAATCAAAAGAACTTCCTGTGACTCATATTGTTTTCCTTTTTGTATCAAAGGCCCAAGATCCTCAGACCTACATTTTGTGCTCAACTGCAAAAGCTTTTCTTGGAGTGCCTTTTCTATAGAATCACCAGTTCCCCAACCCATCACCACCATTATTTACCACCATTATTTGGTCATTGTTCTTTTATACTTTTTTTAATGGTTTTACATTTTTTCTGTAAAATTGTCTTTTTTTTAAGGTTACATATTCTATTTGTTTATAATCAAACTTTTTAACATTATAAAATAGAAATGTACAGAGAACAATGTTACATTGTTTGGTCATCCTTAAGTCAAAGACATTCACTGATAAGGAATCTTCCACTGTGAATCTTACAAAAATGTTCTCTACGTCACATGACCGAGAACAACTGTCTCTGAATATTACCTTAGTCTGGAAGGGATTGGCATACATTTGAAAGAAACTCAGAATGTTTCAAAATAAGCTCTACAATGAAATTCTACCTCTTCAAAACTGGCCTCTTTCTGTCTCTCAGCCCTGGAAACAGCAAAGGACAGCTGGTCAGCAATTGCAGGCAGGGCGGGTACCAAAATAAAGCAGAAGCAGCTAAGCACCGCCACCTCTGGAAGAAACTGGGGGAACCTGGCCAGAGGACCCCCTTTGCTTGTCACTGACTGATGCAAAGGTGGAGGGGAGCCTCCCAAGGGTGTGCTGCTGGGGCCCGGCCCCGCCCCAGGCTCACCTCGGCTGAGCTCTGAGCAAACCCTGCGAGCCACTCTGGGGAGGACTGTCCTGCGAGAGGTCCAGTGACTGTGTGAATGAGGTGACCGCAGACTCTCGTGGGTATTTTAAAGCTTGGAGTCAAGGTACTTTCTTAACATGGCTTGGCAAAGGAAGTCTATGTATCAAATGGCCCATCTACACTTTATTCTAAACTCTACATTTGTAGACCTGGGACTACAAACCTTTGCTGTGCCATTATACTCCCAATTTATGAATCATATTCTATACCTGGAAATGGTCCCTGCGTTTAAAGTAGTATCTACACATAAAGCAATCCAGTGTTACAACTCATAGGGTCACAAAATATTAACTTCTCAAATATAAACCATGATCACAGCCAGCATTATGAAGATCAGAAAATTTACATACCACCAATAATCACCTATAAACACACACACACACACACACACACACACATTCTTACAGAACTGTGCTTAGGGAAACTCTCCCTTTGCTGAGTGCCAACTTCACAAATGTCCCTAAGTCACTGCTCCAGGTATTTTTGTTTGGGAAATCTGTAATGGCAGGACACAGCTGTTTATTGAATGAGCAGAAAAGACAGGCTTCTCACTATCAGAAAGTTTCAAGGTCTTTCAAGTTAAGTACAGCCTCTGTTTCCATGTCTAATAATGACTAGATTCTTGTTTCATGTTCTGAAAAGTTTGCTCCAGGGTTGGGAGGTATCATCAGGCTGCCCGATGCATCACTGACAGAAGAGCCTGCGTCTGAAGTGGTGGCAGCTCAGAATCCAGGTGCGTGAGGACTGGAGGGGCACTGGGTCGGGGGCCATTGCGACGGTGCCTCCGCTCAGTGGTACCCCGTGCCAGGCCACTGGGGAGTCGGGCTGTGGCCTGACCTCCAGCTACTCAGTGGGACTCTCAAACAGAGTCTCATATTTTTCTTAGAAGTATGTATATTGAAACAAATAAATTTATTAAAATAATAAAATCATGCAAAGCTGAAATACGCTGCCTCAGGAAACGGTATGTTCTCTTGTCACTGGATGTATTCACGGTGAATCAATCACTTACCTAGGATGTTACAAATGGGATGGAGCATCAAATAATGGTTGAAATGAGGACTTTTAAGATCCTGTCTAACCCTGAGAATTGAGGACCATGTAATATCTGCCCTTTGCAGCCCACTGCAACAGGCTCACCGCTGCCCAGGCCTTGCTTTGAAAGGATGCTGCTGCCTTGCATATGGCTCTTGCTCCCTGCCCCCTCCGACCTCCCCAAACTAGAAGGCAAGCACCATGAGGGCAGAGATTTTGTTTTGTTTTGTTCATTGCTGTGTCTGCAGTACCTGGAATTCATAACCTAAAACTCCTCAGAATGGGGACCACATTAGTCTTAGTTTCTAAGCATTGCACAGTTTCTTCTTGCCAAGAAATGTATGTGAAAGATCTTATGTTGCCACCCATTTCCTAGGATACAGAGATTTGAAAATGACATTACTCATTTATCCATAAACATCTGCACAGTCTAACAGTCACTGTGCCCAGGTCCCCAGAAATATTCCAACATTCTCTAATGGCAGCATTTCTTACAAATTTGGAGCATCTTGATTATCTACAGCAATCAAAAAAAGTAAAATGTTACCTGGATTATCGATGATTGGGAGTCCCTTAAAGAGCCACATGCTGATTTAGATAACGGTATTCCTTTTATTTTGCATTCTTTTGAAAATGTTTTCAAGGTGTCTTCAAATTCGGCAAAATCTAAATACTATTTAAAAAAGCGCATAAATGTATATATATTTCTCTGTTTTAACATCAACAAAGTAACCATCTTTGATGTAATTGTACCAGCTCAATATTATCACAAAATTTATAATGGGGTTAATGAACTGTCATCTTCGGGAGAAGTAATTTGGGATCCAGCTTAGAATTTACTTACTGATACACACACTAAAAAACTAGAAAGACAGTATCATAGAAAACATTTATTTACAGAAAACAAATTTGTTTTTAGAAGGAAAATGTGAGCTGCATTATAATTTATTTTTTATTTTTTAATTTTGGCCCCATTGCACGGCTTGCGGGATCTTAGTTCCCCAACCAGGGATCGAACCCATGCCCTCGGCAGTGAAAGTGCAGAGTCTTAACCACTGGGCCACCAGGGAATTCCCTTATAATTATTAACAGAAAATAAGATGATATGTGCAGCAGCCTGAAAAAGGCAAAAGTGATCAAAGGACCTGACAGCTTTGGGTCTAGTAGGTCTCTGAGAATTTGTTACTTGAAACAGAGGGATCAGAGGTAATGCTTGCCCCTAAGAACAAAAGGTAAGTCATTAAAAGATGGGCAAAGTCATCAGCCACCTTCAAGCACTAATGATCCCCGCCCCACCCTGTCCTGACACGCCCCCTGCCTTGTGTTAGTGACATGCATTACGGTCTACTGCTGCTCTCCACCCTTCTCTGCCCTTCTTTACAGTTTGTGTCAGTCGTAACTTTCTGTTTCCACCTCCTCTAACTGTGGCTATTTCTCCAGGCCCTATCCACAATTCTCTGCTGTGACAGCTTTGAAAATTTATTCATGATCACACCAAAGTCCAAAGCTGCATTCCCAGGGTGGGTGCCATATCCTTGCTCCACAGCCATGTCTCTCAACGCCTAATGGACAGTTTAATCACACAGTAAAACAGCAGCAACCATTTCTTTAGCACCAACTCTATGCCAGCCCCTGCTAAAGGCAGTAGAGAATACCAAAAAGCATAAGGTGTGGGTCTTATCCTTCAAAAGCTTTCAGCGTAGGACACCTAAATGTCCATTAATAGGAAACAAGTTAAATAGATGATGATGCAGCCACTCAGTGAAATACTCTACAGCATTCAGAAGTATGAGGCAGATCACAGGAAGAGGTTCATACTGTACTACTGTTGATAGATGAAAGGCAAGCTGCAGAACAATGTGTGTGGTATCATCACATTTTGTAAAACAAACTATAGTCGTGTGAATATATTTTGAATACTCATAGAAAAAAGTCTGGAAAGGTAATATACTAAGCCATTAACAGTGGTCACTGCAGGAGGGAAATTCACTGTTTATACTTCTATACTGTTTGAATCTGTTACCATGAGCATGTGCTGCCTTTATAACTTTCTTTAAAGGAATTCTAAAAAGCAGCTTTACAATTTCAGTTTAGTTATGAAAACAAAATATAAATACATGGAAAATTATAAAAAGGAAAACGGATAACTGTAATGTAATGATAGAAACATTACAAGGCATTACAGAATTTCCTGCATTGTAAAATATAAGTTTTACAAGTTTTCAAGATCTTTTTCTGTGACCTGTGTTTTGTAAAACATACCTCTTTCACTAGTCCAAGTAATTCTGATTCATGAGCCAGAACGTCCCCCATATTGAACCGTTACTGTTAATTCTCACAGCAAAAATCTCTACAAGGCAAAAACATAAGACAAAGGCTATCATTCCAACTATCTGTAAAATAACAAAAAGATAGCTGTAGTGGGCAGAATAATGGCCCCCATGTCCTAATCCCCAGAACCTGTGAAAATATTAGGTTGCACAGAAGGGGTGGATTAAGGCTACAGATGGAATTAAGGTTGCTGATCAGCTGACCTTAAAACAGGGAGAGTAGCCTGGATTATCTGGTGGACCCAACATAATCACAGGGGTGCTCATCAGGGAAAGA